ATAATCATGAAATTTCTTGGGTATATTTATGAAGAGTTGCTCTATGTATTTTCTTCGTCACTCGGGGGGGGGGAGGGGCGTGAATTTGCAGCATGTTAGTGCCAAGAGAAGAAAGGGGTGCGGGAAGGCAAAATAGGGGTGCGGGCGTGAATTTGCAGCATGTTAGTGCCAAGAGAAGAATAATCATTCGTACATATGAATAATTAATTAGCCATAATTCCAGAACCCTTTGCCCTATAATCATGAAATTTCTTGGGTATATTTATGAAGAGTTGCTCTACGCATTTTCTTCGTCACTCGGGGAGGGGGCGTGAATTTGCAGCATGTTAGTGCCAAGAGAAGAAAGGGGTGCGGGAAGGCAAAATAGGGGTGCGGGCGTGAATTTGCAGCATGTTAGTGCCAAGAGAAGAATAATCATTCGTACATATGAATAATTAATTAGCCATAATTCCATAACCCTTTACCCTATAATCATGAAATTTCTTGGGTATATTTATGAAGAGTCGCTCTATGCATTTTCTTCGTCACTCGGGGGAGGGGGCGTGAATTTGCAGCATGTTAGTGCCAAGAGAAGACAGGGGTGCGGGAAGGCAAAATAGGGGTGCGGGCGTGAATTTCCAGCATGTTAGTGCCAAGAGAAGAATAATCATTCGTACATATGAATATTTAATTAGCCATAATTCCAGAACCCTTTGCCCTATAATCATGAATTTCTTGGGTATATTTATGAAGAGTTGCTCTATGTATTTTCTTCGTCACTCGGGGGGGAGGGGCGTGAATTTGCAGCATGTTAGTGCCAAGAGAAGAAAGGGGTGCGGGAAGGCAAAATAGGGGTGCGGGCGTGAATTTGCAGCATGTTAGTGCCAAGAGAAGAATAATCATTCGTACATATGAATAATTAATTAGCCATAATTCCATAACCCTTTACCCTATAATCATGAAATTTCTTGGGTATATTTATGAAGAGTCGCTCTATGCATTTTCTTCGTCACTCGGGTGAGGGGGCGTGAATTTGCAGCATGTTAGTGCCAAGAGAAGAATAATAGTACATATGAATAATTAATTAGCCATAATTCCAGAACCCTTTGCCCTATAATCATGAAATTTCTTGGGTATATTTATGAAGAGTTGCTCTATGCATTTTCTACGTCACTCGGGAAGGGGGCGTGAATTTGCAGCATGTTAGTGTCAAGAGAAGAAAGGGGTGCGGGAAGGCAAATAGGGGTGCGGGCGTGAATTTGCAGCATGTTAGTGCCAAGAGAAGAATAATCATTCGTACATATAAATAATTAATTAGCCATAATTCCAGAACCCTTTGCCCTATAATCATGAAATTTCTTGGGTATATTTATGAAGAGTTGCTCTATGCATTTTCTTCGTCACTCGGGGGGGGGGGGGAGGGGGCGTGAATTTGCAGCATGTTAGTGCCAAGAGAAGACAGGGGTGCGGGAAGGCAAAATAGGGGTGCGGGCGTGAATTTGCAGCATGTTAGTGCCAAGAGAAGAAAGGGGTGCGGGAAGGCAAAAGAGGGGTGCGGGCGTGAATTTGCAGCATGTTAGTGCCAAGAGAAGAATAATCATTCGTACATATGAATAATTAATTAGCCATAATTCCAGAACCCTTTGCCCTATAATCATGAAATTTCTTGGGTATATTTATGAAGAGTTGCTCTACGCATTTTCTTCGTCACTCGGGGAGGGGGCTTGAATTTGCAGCATGTTAGTGCCAAGAGAAGAAAGGGGTGCGGGAAGGCAAAATAGGGGTGCGGGCGTGAATTTGCAGCATGTAAGTGCCAAGAGAAGAATAATCATTCGTACATATGAATAATTAATTAGCCATAATTCCATAACCCTTTACCCTATAATCATGAAATTTCTTGGGTATATTTATGAAGAGTCGCTCTATGCATTTTCTTCGTCACTCGGGGGAGGGGGCGTGAATTTGCAGCATGTTAGTGCCAAGAGAAGACAGGGGTGCGGGAAGGCAAAATAGGGGTGCGGGCGTGAATTTGCAGCATGTTAGTGCCAAGAGAAGAATAATCATTCGTACATATGAATATTTAATTAGCCATAATTCCAGAACCCTTTGCCCTATAATCATGAAATTTCTTGGGTATATTTATGAAGAGTTGCTCTATGTATTTTCTTCGTCACTCGGGGGGGGGGGGGGGGGGGGAGGGGCGTGAATTTGCAGCATGTTAGTGCCAAGAGAAGAAAGGGGAATCCGCCCCAGCTGTGAGGTGGTCAAAATAACCCGGCAACAATGTTACCAAGTGGGCAAATAATTGTTATTTAAAGATTTGGTCAATTCAATAAAAGTGTCAGTCATGCGTAATGCGCTTGTATGTATTTAGTGTATTTTGTACACTTCGTGTTCCAACCTTTAATCATCTTAAAGTTACAATTATTCCTTAAAATATAGCATAAACAGTCATTTTACTCATCTTTTCTCTGTATTGTTTTAGTGTTAATTTGTTGTTAACAGGTATAATTAATCTAATGCGTAATGTCATCCACGGTAATGTCAGTCACAGAGGTTTTTTTGCATATTAAAAGAAATCATGAAAGTTTTGCACATTTACTGCATGTGTTGGTTACCCTATAAGCTAAAATGCTCGTATGGATTTAAATACGTAGAAATTTTAACTTGAAAAGAAATTTGAAAAATATGTTTGACATTTTTTGGTTGCATCGCTTTTTGTAATGTCAGTCACGACAGTAAACTACCACTCTAATTGGAAAACTGAACATGAAATTTTAAATTTTCAATACCGTATTGTGTATTCAGGTCCCAGTAACTCCCATGCCAAACAATGGTTCAGTTGGCTTTAATTGTTTACACATAAGAGCTGAATTGATATTCAAAATTAGTAAAATGTAATGTCAGTTACGGTCTTAGGCTTAGTGTAATGTCAGTCACAAAAAAACGATGCTTTTTTCGATAAAAGCATTCAGGATAGCAATAAAAATCTGCCCTTCATTGCTTTCTTAGCACGGGGTCTAGGTATATCAACTTCTATTGTTGACAGACGAGGCTATTTTAATTGGGTGTTAATTTGTTTTATATTAACAGGCATATTCATTCAAAAAATCATGATTTTTCCCCAATCTTACTACATGCGTTGGTAACCCTATTAGCTCTAATGTTCTAATGGATTTTGATCTGCAGCACTTTTAACCCGAAGAGAAATTTTAAAAACATGTTTGACATTTTTGGGTTGCATCGCTTTTTTTAATGTCAGTCACAGCACCAATCAGGGCTCTGGAGTGCTCTGAAACGTGCAAAACTAAATCAGGCCCACTTTACTCACAGTTTAGCCAGCAAATTTCTCCAAAAAATTCCACTGGGGCAAAGAAAATGTCCTCAGTATTTCACCAACCAAGTTTGCAGACTCAATTCAATTTTTAAAGGAGACTTTTCTTTAATATTTTGCACATGAGAGGAAAGTCAAGTGATTTCAAAATGGGGCTAAATACTAGACTGGTACATGTTCAACCATGGTCCAACTATATTCGAAAAGACTGACCTCATTTCATTCAAAGTCAATAGTCTGGTGGCTTGACTATGGAGAAATGTGTAGTAAATTGAGACTAGTTCCCGCTAGTTCCCGTTTTGGGACTCTCATACACAGTATTGAGAGTCCCAAATTTTCGGACTATCACAGCACTAAACAACCCCCAAGTCAAAAAAGCTAACCATGAAATTTCAAAGATTCAATACTGTATTGTGTATGTAGGTCCTAGTAACCCCTTTGCCAAACATGGTTCAGTTGGCTGTAATTGTTTAGACATTAGAGCTGATTTGATACATGTAATGTCAATCACGGTGGAATTGCCCAGATAATGAAGACATTAAATCCTGTAGCTTGTGTTGGTAATCTCGCCGTCGGTTGAATATTCTCTCCCAGAACTTGTCTGCACGGTTGACATGTACATGTGAACTCCAGTTCTCTTTCTCAGTGAGCGCTACATTTCAGCATATTCCTGTTTAGATTTTCGTTCTCCAAGTTTCCGTACAACCATGTCCAACTAATATATTAAAGTGCAAGCAGCAAACCTTTGTCCAGAAATAGAAGCAAAGAATTATAAGGTTTCAACTGTACAAAGTGTACGTTACATTAACATATTAAGATAGCATGCACATGCATGGCCTTGTGCAGGGCCAGGGCCCTGACCACAGTTTCCCCACATACACTTTGTTACGCAACGTTACGTAAATCTCACTGATAGCTGAGCTAGGCAAGGTCACTGGGCCGATGACCACCAGTGATTGTATGCTCTCTCATTGGTTGTATCTGTCAGTGCACAAACCATCGGCGCTGTTGTCTTATTGGCTCATTCTGCTTTGTACACGAACCATCGGTACCGATGGTTCGTGTACATTCAACTAAATGTCACTTCTATCGAGAGTGTCCGAGTAATGCGTGAACGACTCGGTGACGTGAAGGTGGTCATGCCATGCGTTCAAGAGAATTTTTCAGGCTGTTTGTCAGCCTGAGCGACATAATGTACAACCATGGAGGAATAAGAGTCCCAAACACTCAAGATAATGATGACGGCCACACCCGGCCCAGTAGAGAGTACAAAGATTCTGGAATGTGTGTTCCGAGACCTTCAGTTGGCAAAATCTATTGGTGCAGCTATCGATGGTTAATGACAATTTTGCCTTCTAGGCCTATTTACAATTGAGCAAGCATGCAGCGAAAACCCAAATGACAGTCGGGCTATGATAATCATCATCCACAGGGCTTACTGGATTCTTTTTGATATTGAAAACCAAACATGTTATTCCGAACCATCAGCCCAGCCACCGATCACCTCAACGTAATGTCCTACTTCAATTTTCTATAACTCTACTCAATCCTGAGCTTATGGGTGCCGCTGCATGTCATCGCTCTTCGAACCCTTCATTGCCAAACTCAAAGCCACCTATGTAGATGCACCTGCACCAGAATTTCTCGAGTGAAATAATAGTTCCAAACGTGTACCGTATACCTATACCTTGAATCTGGTAAGCTTGTCTTGGGCTAGCATGAGTGCCGTGGCTGAACCGATCCCTGTCGAGCACCCAGTGATGAGTACGGACTGCGGCGCCATGTTTGTTGCCGGATTCTTTTCTGTTTATGCCCCGGTCTTCTGATTTCAACGCCTAGTTTGCTGTTGCGAGTTACTGCTGTTCACTTTAGCAGGAATTAACGGCTTTTATGCAAAATGGTATACATGCATGCACTTTGTATTGTTAACTCGAGCGCAAAAAATTGTACTTCAGTCTGCACGGACGTTGACAAAGGTCAGCCATCGTATTCTATAAATGCTGCTCTATTTACTTACACGCTCTAAACCATAATTTTTTTTATCAAGGCACTATTTACTTTTGTCGGTGACAGTTTGGCTTTTAAACCCGACCTAATGCGGCGGGAGCAGTAGATGTCAAATATTTGATTTGAGGAAAGGTTGGCCCGTACGTATCAGCCATATGACACCAATGCATGCATGGCGGGTGTGACTTAAGTTGTGACCTTTTTGAGATGAAGGCACTTTGGGGTTATTATGGGGGCGCTGTTTCAATTTAACGAACTTCCAAGTCCATGGCCTAATTCCACAACCTCGTCCCCAGTGCTTACTTTATTTCCAACCTCGTTTCCAATAGTAGTGGGCGCGTACTGATCGACTCCCTGGGGACGAGGTTACTAATTCCGTTTCTGAGATAGCAGGGCGTATCTCTAGCAAAATTATGCATTTTTAATTAAGTTTCTTTGACAAAAGGTGTGGATTGAGATGCATCATGTATTGCTAGATATGATGTGATGAGGCAAACGGGTGTACAAGATAAGTGTTTTTGCCTAATTTTGTTGCGGCGTACCTCTCCTTCCATTGGTCTGGTGACGCCCTTGATTTTGTCCCACCCCCCGGACCCAAACCTGGATGCTATACTGGTGTTGCGGCTTTGATTGTTCAAAGCCGCAATTAGTGATGTGCTTATGTGTATCCGAAACAGTGCCCAAGCGTGGATCGATGCCTTTTCCTCGCTCATATCATGTCCTCCTATTTAGCCCGGGAGTGTGAAGTCTGAAACGGTGTGTTATAAACCAGCACTCGATCTTCACAGAAGACACTGATGATATTCACACGGTTTCACAAAATGCACCCGCAACCAAAATCCTTTGACGATTAATTCATTCCACTATGTTAAAACTCCAATCACATGTACAAGTATACACTTCTTGTCATTAGCATATGTACAATGTATTTATTTACATTATATCTTATGGGATCCTCTTTCAAAGTTAAGAACCCAAACAATAGAGTTGTAATCACAAGTCAATCGCAAGTCATTCACGTCATCAAATGTAAACATAAGTCAATCAAAGGTTATAGGTTTACCATGACTTGGGTAAAAATCAAAGAAGATCATTATACCTTGATTTACGAGCGCATTTTACAGTGCAAGACAAGCACGTATCGCGTTTTTATTTTTAGGTAGAAAAAGCTTCATGGCTCTATGCAAGAAGCCCATCACCAGAATTCAGCCCCTATATTCTTAATCCCTTATCAAACAATTACAATTATTGGAAAAATCATACATTCTACACGAGTAGGACCAGTTTGGGGTGTACATATATGTATATGACTGTGCCAGTGCAGGAATAGTCGTTGGCTCTTTGAGGCTACGTATGAATTTAATGAGGAACAATAGCAGAAAGGGATATAGGCAAGGTACAATGTACAATGTATATCAGATCTTCAGACCCATTTTTTTTCACGGATAACATGGATAACTTGAGTGAGGCTCCCGTCAGTTCTGGAAAATGACCACCTTGCCAAAGAATCTTCACCATGGGCGTTGCGAGGGAGAGGGCATGTCCCCCCCCCCCCCCCCCCCCCCCCCAGGAAATTAAAAAAGAAAGAGTGACAAAGTCAATATTACTGTATTACTTTAATGTACATGTAAATTTTTACAACATGGGTCGCGTCAAGAGGGGGAGGGTGAGTTAAGGGGGTGCCCAAATGTCCCTCCCTGGGAAAAGGCTTTGCTCCCCCCCCCCCAAAAAAGATCTTCTTCAGTCATTTAGAGCAAATTCTTTAATTGGATAAGACAGAGTCCCAGACCTGCAAACTCTGTCAGGTACTACACCAATACAGGGTGAGTAAAAAAAAAAACGAAACCCAAATGTCGGGACCATTGTTTTAGTGAAGTTCTGAATGTAGCACTTTCAAAATCTAGGATATGAAAGCCCAATTCATAATCTTTCTTTTAGTACAACAATCATTCAAATCACTCATGTACTTTTAAAGTTAAGGAGTTTTAAACACAACCACCATTTTAAAGTTCTGTCCACGGATCACAAAAAAAGGTGTGCGTTCTTTCAGCAAAACGAAAACAATTCACACGTACACGTCCTTATAATATGTGATTTGTTTTCGTTTTGTTGAAAGAACACTGAACTTTTTGTGATCCGTGGACAGAACCTTAAAACCGCGGTTGTGTTTAAAACTCCGTAACTTAAGAAGTACACGTACATGAGTGATTTGAATGATTCTTGTACTAAAACAAAGCTTATGAATTTGGCTTTTATGTCCTAGATTTTAGAAGTGCTACATGCAGAACTTCACTAAAACAATGGTCCCGACATTTGGGTTTCGTGTTTTTTTTTACTCACACTGTATACACACACTTTCTGGAACTACAGAAGACTTCCAGCTATAATTTTATACAACATGTACACATCCTATACTCTTAAACATGAAGAGTCAACATGAACGCAGGCCCTAAGGTCTTGAAGAGCACCTCTCAAAGGCTGAAGAACTGAGGGAAAAACAAACGAACATGAATGCCGCCAAATGGTTCCCTTCAAGTAACCAACAAGAACCTCACAAGAATAAAACCAGGATGAGAGAGTCTTTCAGTCTGGATCATATTTTCTTGCAGAATCCATCATGGTCTCCTTCGTCAGTTGCTGTTATCATTCTTTGGATTCAGCTCTCCTTCTGGACATTTTCTCAGCATTTTCACGTTGCATCGACTGGAATTCCTTGGAATTTTCCCAGGGGCGGGGACCGCGGATGTTGTGCCAGGTGTCAATGTCGTCATTTTGCAATTTCTGAAATTAAAATATGATTAAAATTATATTGCAGTATAATGGACTGTTACAGATAGGAATTACATACATGTACCTATCCATGACATGTATGGTGAGGAAGAATCCTACAGACTAGTCAGATGGAGACTGGAAAAAAATATTCAAAATTTTCCAAGCACATGATAGAATAAATAATTATTGTATGGGATGTTACTTCCATTTATATACTTCTCCTTACCAACTTCAAAATTGGGCATCACTGAAAAATAATGGCAAAAGGTTTATTAGCAAAATGTATTCATGTGGACGTGTACCTCGAACTCTCCTTCAATTGTGATCTTGTCCTTCCTTTTGTATTCATTCATTTTCTCATCAGTCTCTGGATCCACCTGAATATAAAAGATAAAGAGTCCATTATCTCAAACAAGGTTGGAAACTTGAAAATAATAAGAATGGCAATATGAGCGACTGATGATCCATTGACCATTTACAAGAAATTATAACATATGCATGGTTTCATTTGAATTGAAAACTTACAGTTTTTCTTTTGTCGATGATTTCATAGCGCAACGTGCGAAATTCCTTCAGTCCAAACGATCCACCGACAACAATTACCTAAGTTTATATAAAAAAAATTAACATTTTGAATGGCAAAACTTGTTTTAAAAGATGAGGCTCATAAGTTATCTAAAATATTATTAAATAGCCAGCCTGCATAATTTGCATTTGTAGGCCTAATTGACGTACAGTTACGTAAAAGCTTAGAACATGCATGAGATGATAATGAGGCTAAACCCAAACATGACCTACTGACAGTACTGTGCTGGTCTTCGTCCTTGATTTAAGTTGAGTGCGAACGAAGGCTAGGACTAGAATGAAACTTGTGTACAACTCATAGAGATCTATTAATAAAGAACTTGGTACAGCTAGCTCGGCACAACACAGTCACAGCCGCAGCATGCACATGTTGCGATATTGCCTACATGTACATATACTGCATGTACATGTATACACATATACATGTATATATGCCTACGGTTTTGTGGTTGGATCGCGTACGCGTACATACAACAATGACTTATACGCGATCCTAACAAAGAATATAAGAATGCTTTAACTGATTAGAAGCATCAACTTCCATAACAACAGATACTGTTAAGTCCTTGACGGTCACACTTTACCAGCATTGGAAGGCCAAATTTCAAGAATCGACTTTTCTTAATCGCGTCCACAATTTTGACCAAGGGCGCCGCCATCTTGAAAAGGCTCGTCTGGTACCCTTTACGCACACACGACAGAGGGCGTCTTGGTATTTGCACCAGTCTGAAGCATGCATGGTGATCATGAAGAAACATGGCGACGTATGGCAGGGGGTTTCTGGTCAGATTTTGCGCGAATTTTTCTCAGAGTAGGTATCCTCTTCGCACTAATTTTGGAAAGAGTTCCATACCTGGACATCACTTGACACCCTGTGCACAAACCCTATTAATATGGCCTTAACAATTACCAGTGTTTTCTAAGTTTTCTAAGTGGTTAGTAGGCCCTACGTCTCGAAAAAATTGTAGCTAAATTAAAGTTTAAACTGATTATGATAAACATCTTAACTCCCCTTAAGCCCCCCACCCCCAAAAAAGTCTCCGGTTTCTGGTATGCGCGCGCGTCGCCGTAGCTATGCGCGTCGGCAAAATGAAAAAGGTTTCTTTTCAATAAAAGATGATATCTCAAAACCGCCAAACTCACTGGTTTGACTGGAATCCTGCTGCTGCACAATTTTAACGTGTTTTTAGATAGGGTCATGATCGAGAATAAGCTTTATGTGGCCTCTCTGGACTCCCATATTAATTTGCACTAAGTTTAGTCGGGCACCATTTGCAGTCATCAGCCGACATTTGAAGCAAAAAAAAACAGGTAAAAAAAAAAGCCACGTCGCCGCACCACTTTTTGGGCAAGCTCCATACCAGAAACGGAGACTTTTTTTTGGCCTTAGGCCTATATTTTGTACGCAGTGGCTATCGTTACGGCAGCCGTAACGCATTTCCCATTTTCTATCGTTATGGAAAAAAGTGAATTTGAACGTAATGAAATTCGGACTTTATTTCCCTTTTAAAAAAAATCCTCCAAAGCCTCAGGTTAGAAAAGAAAAAAAATTCGAGTGCAAAACTGAGATGCGAACCCGCAACCTCGCGGTGCAAAATCCTACCCTCTATCGACTGAGCTGTCGCACTGCTCGCTAAAACGTGGGGAAACAAATAATTATATACATGTACCTGCGTGCGTATCAAAAAAGTATCGTAGAGGGCGCTAAACAACGGCTGCCGTAACGATAGCCACTTCGTATTTTATATGCTTCTAAAGCAAAAATAAACTACAAACTAAGCCTAAATGTGAAAATCAAAATTTGACAAAGTTCGACATGTTTTTGTACATGGTGGAAGTGTGGCCTTTATTTGCGGAGGTAGTCCAGTAAATTGGCCACATTTATGGGGCTAAATTCAAATATGACTCGGCAACTTTTGAATTGAAATTGAGATCCTAGAATATTGTTTTCTCAGAATATACTGCATTCACATAACGGAACTAAACCTTCATTAGGTCAGTTGTTAAGTAACCGTCTTTAGCATTTGAGCATGTTTGTTGCTTCAAACGAAACAAATGCGCATATGACAAATGATTTAATCTACCTTTAATGCAAAAACTACTACCTACATCTAATTTGAAATTCAAATGTACTGTATTAGAAACAAATATGCAGTTAAATACCTGTTAGTAAATAGCAAGCCATACATAGATTAGAGTAGTAGATTTTGTGTTCTGAAAATGAGAGTGTCCCTTTTTTTCTCAACTATCATTTGCAGGGCTTTCAGTTTCAGGATGTAATCTTCATCGTACACTCCCAGTCTCCTCAAATGGCTTCCACACCTGCGCTGGGTCTTCGCACACACTGTTGCCAACAGCTCAAGTTACTGTTACACCGAAGAGACACACTAGCTGGTTCAATACTTGTAAGTAACAGAGGTAACACACTGAGTATACAGTGTTTATATGTCGGTGAAGGGAAAAACCTAATTTGATTAACTGAGCATGGTTATTATGTGCTTGACATTTTGGATGCAAATCTTGCCCAATTTGTTTCTCTATTAAAAAAAAATTGAATTAGGTGGAATTTTAAACTGAGGACTTCTGGAATACGACCATCACTCTATCAACAGAAGGATCCAGTTTCTTCCAGTTGAAGTCCCATTGTGTCACATTTTGAGACCACCAATCAAGGGCTTGGTTGGTAGAGCGACAGTTTGAACCTTTCCTTTGTTAACCTGTTCACGCCGGATGATGTGTATACACGCAAAGGTTTTGTGGTATTCGGAATGGATGAGGGATAAACACGCAGGGTGCAAGGCCAGAAATATCTGTCAACAACCCGCTTACAGCGAGTGAGGCCGGAAATATGAGTGTGATGCCCGAGGGTGATGGCTTCAACCCTCCTGGCTTGAGGTCTAGTGAAATTTCTTTCACTAGACCTCGCTCCATTCTTGTCAAAATAATCCAGCGCAAACCGGTTAAACAGCTGATTGATCTAGCCATTCCCCCAAGTAATTTATTTGACGAAATCCAAAATGAATGCATGTTGCTGAAACAGAGGGCAAAATGTGCAGACTGTACTGGGAATTTCAAGAAGAAGAAAAATCAGATGTTTTTATATTCCATTGTTTAATCATATTGGTGCAGATATAAAGACAAAATATGTATGAGTGCAATAAATCACTAAATTAAGTACAATTCATGCACTTTAGTCTTCTTGTTGTGTATAGATTTACAGTAACATGAATGTTAATGGGTATTTGTTTTTATTTAACACAGTAACCGCAAACCAGCTTTGGAAGGGCATGCTAGCAACCACAGGCAAAGCTCAAACCAAGGCTCGAGGCAAGCGACCAGCAAAGAGAATCAAGAAAGATCTCAATAGAGGGCAGTTTATTGGAGAAGGTAACAAAATATGGTTATTTCTGATGCATAATAAGATGATTTTCTTTACTTACAATTTATAATCTTAACTCAAAGTCATGTACTGTGCAGTAAGCACTCAATGCTCCTGTGACCTTAGCTGCTGATGCACACATCTGAACTTAAAGAATGTGTGTCAGGCATGCCATGTTGACAAGTTCTGGCAGAAAACAAATCAAACAAACACACTGCATAGTGCCTCACGCAGAATGGCATTTCTGTTTGCAACAGTTTACACTCAGTTTAACCCTTACCTCCCCACAACTCCATCCTCCCATTTTGGTGGAATTTGGGGGACTTGGTCCTGCAGGCCTGGTTTGACTAAATATTGATGGAGTATGATGGACTTGGGCCTGGAGGCCTAAAGCAGAGCATGCATTAGAACTTGGAAGCAGTGTGATTGATAGATTTTGGTGGACTTGGTCCAGTACTTAGGGTTAATAAAGTAGCTTTCAAGATATTTGCGATTAGTGCATTGTCTAAAAATCAGCTTTAATCCTAACCCTTCTGAATGTTTAATAGTTGGCAATTTCTTGGGCAATTTCATTAGACACTTTTTCTGAGTCTTAATTCATCAATGGGTCTCCACCTACTTGTTTAACTTTGAGCGGGGGCAGTCAACTAACCCAATCTAGGGCTGTGCATCGGAACCGGGTACCCCAGTACCTGACCGCTGATGTCAGGAAGCGGTTCCAGATTAAGGGATCGGGTACCCGTAACCAACTTTACAACTTACTTAGTAACTTCTCAGACAATGAAAGAGAAAGATTGTGAATGTCATTTGTGGGGAATTTTTATAAATAAAAACCAGGGTACATGGAAAAGCGAATCAGATTCACATTGATAATGGTTGTGAAAGTTGCACTTTACACCAGAGCTAACTGTACACACTTGTATCTTGCTGTATTGACGCACCGATGTGGTAGTACATGTATTACCGTAAGGACCTTTCTTATATAAATCTGAATTGTGGGTTTGGTTTTCTTTAACGGGTACCCGGATACCCATGTCTTTTTGATCGGGTGCCCTGTTCCCGTACTGCCCGTAAATGCACACCCCTACCCAAATCCCCAAAACCGCTTAGTGCATTTGGAAGAGTTTCAAGGGTTAGGATGGCATGGGTGGCGTAGTGCATGAAGCACTGCTGTAGCCCGGGTTCGATTCCCATCTTGGATCATGTGTGTTTGTTGATTCTCTCCTGTGCCACAGGGGTTTTTCTCCCTGTTCTCCGGTTTTCCTCCCGCCGCAAAAATCAACACTTTTGATCTGGCTGTGCTCCATGGTAAAACATGGGCTTATATGGTGGCTGCCTACGGCTTCTTTAAATGCCTTCTGGTTGACCACGTAGTAGCTGCGTCCTTCGCAATACAGCTTCTGCTACGAGTAAGGATGATTAGCGCCCCCCCCCCCCTTCCCATTATTATTGTACACTCAGCTTAAAATTGATGAGAAATTAAATAATTTTTTTATTGCTCTGTATCCTTTTCCTTTTTTTTTTTTTTTTTTACAGGAAAGGCCAACATAGCCTGGCCTGGCCTGAATGCCCCCATCCTGAAGGACAGAACCGTCCAGACCATGCATGTCAAGGAGCCAGACCCAGAGAGGGAGGAACGACTTCTGCAGATCCGATCCCAATGGGACAAGAAGAAGAAACGGTCAATACCCCCTGAGCAGAGAGGCTGGACCTCCAAGAGCTGGGGTGGGCGTCGGCTGGGCCCACCGGATCCTATACCAGGAGGTAGGGTGGTTTTCTTGGTTCATGTTTTTTTTTTCCCCAACATTTGAAATGAAATCAAATCAGTGCTTGTTGACCCTCCAGCATCCCAGGTACATAGTAGATATATATGTATATGGTGACATTTTTAGCCCTCCTTGGCCATCCAACAGTTTGCATGAATTAGTTAGGGGTCACTAGCTGCACATGTCAAAGTTCAGCAGTATTGATATAAGTTTTGAGGGACATATCATATTTGCAACTGGTTTTCTCCTCAGTAATACAAGGGATCACTGGTATTCTATAAAGAGCAAAGGGTGTGTGTGTGTACTTGTGTACGCATTCAATAGGGGACGTTGAACAATAGAGGACAACAGGGTCCACAATTCCTGAGGGGTCCCCTATTTGGTTCGTGTTCGTGTTCGAGGACTCAGTTGGAAAACATTTACAAAACCAATGAGAGCTGTTGCAAAAAAAGTTAGAGTATAATCAAAGGAAAAGAGAAGAGGAACAAAATAAAATCCTTGATTAACACCATAAACAAATGTGGGTGGGTGTGCGAGTGTGTTCACAAGTTAACCACGAGTGAATCATGCGATCGCCTACAAAACGGGCGACTTGCCCATGAAGTGGGCTACAGGTGGCAAAGCCGCCTCCCCATGAAGCCTCATTTTCACGATTGAAAAGCTGCTATTTGGCAGTAATAATACACTGTACTTTACTCACAGTGTATCACTGAAAAATAGTTGGACATCCATTTGTGGGCATTCAAATTCTGTAAAAAATAGAGCCACTTTTATTTCTGAATGAGGCTTCGGAATTCATTTATGGGTAATTAACCTGCAAGTGGATATATGCAAGAAGTTGACTGCGAATTGACTATGATGTGCATTGCGCATAGTGTTTGTGATTCCCTTCAATAACTGAACTCGATCAGAGAACACATGGACAAAGGATAGTACATTTGCTATTCTAAAAACCTAGCTGTGTTGTAGTGAATTCCACCACAAGTCCTCATTATCCAATCGCACACTCACTCACTCACTCGGTCGCCCACAGGCGGGATCGAGTATGGCTTTTCCAAGTAATTCGGTCCCGCATGAGGGGGGGGGGGGCATGGGCGTCGCCAGGATTTTTTCTAGAGGGGGGCAAAAAAAAATTTTGCCAAAAAAATGCTTGTATTTCTCAACACATTCTCGATTTATCAGTTTTAGAGGGGGCAGGGACATTTTGCCCCCCCCCCAACTCATTAAATTTACACCACTTTGTCTTCGCGCCTCTTTTTCTTTTCTTTTTTTTTCTTTTTTTTTTTTTGCTTTTCCAGGGGGGGGGGGGGGGCAAGTGCCCCCCCTTGCCCCCCCTCGCGACGCCCATGGGGGGGGGGGGGGGGGGGAGAGGGGCAGTTCGTCTGTCGATTCTACACCGGTGTCCTTTTGCAGCATCCCGGTGTAAGACATTTTCGGTCCTCCTCACCTCCTGGGCCCGTGGTTTGGTTTCCAGAGAATGACTTTGTGTGCCTCCAGCTCCGGGTGCTGGTAACAGTGGCCTGCTAACTGCATCCGACGGGCTGCAATTCTGTCTCCGATCACAAGTTAACCAGTACCAAGTAAAAGACACAAGCTATTCAAATGAACTGTGACGAAGGCATTTGTTTGCCATTGTTCATCCCCTGTTACTTGTGGCTGGACTTGTAAATGGAATTCATAATTTACTTGTGATGGACAATCATGGACTTGACTACGAAACTGAAACTAGGCCATTCAGACACTTAAATCTGAAAATAACACATGTACATACAATGTAAGATTATTTGGTATTATATTTTTTAAAACAGAGACATTTGAGGGGTTTGACTCCAGCGTGATCACAGTCCGGAGAGTCTTCAACATGACTGGTGCTAAAGGCAGGAAGCGTAGTATGTCAGCACTGGTCGTTGTCGGGAACAAGAATGGTGCTATAGGTGAGAATATCTCCAACAAACATGACAAAGTTTGGAGCCAAGGGTCAATCTATTGAGTGGGATCAAGGGAGGAGTGTGCGCATCGTAAGCACCGTCGATATCAGAATTGTCAGTTATCGATATATCATTAATCCAATATCGAGTACATTTGATATATCGATTATCCCATGCATGTAAAGGTCAAAGACCATAAAGATGACACTTTGATTAAAAAACCCTTAATTCCCAATTTTCCACAGCTTTCTCTGGAGGACATCGCTTAAACTTTTTAAACAAATCTCAGCACTGAGAGTTTGTCCAGAACGGGCATTTTTTTATATAGTTTTACATTGGGGGAGACCGCGAATTCTAGTGAACGCAGAGCACAAAGCGACGCCGCTTGGCATTTTGCGATGTTTTTAGTTTGAGTCACTAGCACAAGTTGCCGCTGAGTTTTATTTCATATACAGCAAATGATAAACACCAATTAAAAGCACAAACTTGAATCCTCAACCCTGATTGGGCAATCTATGGCAACAACAGTGTGATATCCCATGTACCACAGTCCATCGCACTCCGCTTATCACGTTATTCTAAGATTTGCACCTCATTCCTACTGCGCGCACGTGTGATCGCATTACCACTAAATAGTTTGTGTTCAGTGTGCACGTTCCATCTTTAACATTAACCCTAACCCTCCAGGGTAAGTTTGCTAGAACCCTGCCAAACGTAGTGACATGCAACACTTGACTAAGTGACAAGCCTGCCAAATGTAGCGAGATCCATCGGGGAAAGGTCTCAAGGCCATACTGCCTCAGAGTCCATGGTCACCTCACGCAGCAGCATACAACTGTGGTATTTGTTCAACTGTTCAATGGTACTTAGCTCTCATTTTTTCAGAGCTGGATATTCATGCACTGGTGGTGGTAGCTGAATGCATCAAAGTGCACCAGTTCTTTTCCACCTGACGCATTGTGTTGCTTCTGGCAGGGTTATGGTTAAAGGGAATACACAACATTTGCAAACATCGAAAAACAAAACTACCAAATGTTTACGAAATACCTTACTAGGATGTTGATAAATGACAGTCTAAAGCATCCTGTAAAATTATGGCACCTGGTGTGAAGTCATTTTCAAGAAAAGTGGTATTTTTGTATAAATTTCCAACGGTGATCGGCCGACCACCGTTGGAAAAACCTAACTATTTTTTAACTGCTGCTCCAAATTTACCATTTTTTTTCAGTCCAAATTTTGTTTGCTATTGGTTACATGTTCATGAACGAATGCAGGCCAGCTAGACTGGTTCCCTTACTGTACAATTTTCCGGCATCTATAAATTGATATATTTCATAATAGTGGAGTCAGGGAACCAGACTACTTGAACATTTTTGTTTTTCTGGGTTTTTCCAGCATTTTCGAACACAAATCTTCAAACATGTCAGTATAACAATATTTTGATCTATTATACTAACCCCTCAACTAGTTAAATTCTGAAAATTACAGCAAAAGCCAATGATGTACATTCCCTTTAATGTGTGTTAAGTTTGCTTGAAGATAATTCATTATCCTACTGGTGCTCACTAAACACTGAAAACGTAGTGCGTCTGTGTTCCATATACCACTTGGCCTTTGGTGCTTGTGATAACTTATATTGTAGACTGCGTAATTGAGTTTTCCACTTTTGCGACTTTCTAGGCTACGCACATGGCAAAGCCCCAGATGTGATGTCAGCATTGAGAAAAGCCAAGAACAAAGCTGCCAACTACCTCCATTACATAGAGCGTTATGACGACCACACAGGTAAGAAGAGGGGCCTTTGTCACACCTCATCTGAGTAGCTTGTCAATTCAGGTGATTCACAATGTAGTGCGCCACCAAGAGTTTGCCATGGAGAGTCCATTTTTCAAGTTTACTGTCGACAAAACATGGCCCATTTGAATCAGTGTCAGTAGACAACTTGAGCTAATTTGTTATAGATTGGGGCATAGCGTTTTGCCGCCTTACAAAAAACACCATATTGATAAAGAGAAAAGAAAGGGAAAAACGAACAATTTTAAATGTCCCGTGCTGCGAATTTGTCGACCATCTCCCACAATGCACTGGGAAAACTGAACTCTCTGTGACAAACTCTTGGTGGGGCACTACATTGTGAATCGCCCGAACTGACTTGAGTCTGGAGGATTTTTGATTGACTTGTGATGACTTGATGAAAATACTGCTAAGGGAACCTATTATTCTTTTCTTTTTTATTTCAGTGTACCATGACATTGAGTCCAAGTTCCAAGTAACAAGAATAAGGATCAGGAAGCAGAACAAAGGTAAACTTTGGCATTGTCTGAAAAATTGGGATCGGTAGATATTTTCCCACAACTCCGAAGAATGACATCTCATTGAATATGTTCATAACAATGTTATACACTGCCATGTGTAAATCACACAATGAAGGGCTTGGGCACAGGAGTACTGGCATTTCACTTCTAATAGCTTAGTTGAAGATGGAGCACAAGTGTTGTGAGTACAAAACATGTCAAGTGAAGCTTATGATGCTGTGGACATGGGTGAATATCACCGAAAACTACTCCTGAAAGCCCACAAAAGTCCTACTTTTATCCTGATTTTGTCCACCAAAGTCATACTTTTATCCTGCTTTGTCCTCCAAAGGCCTACTTTTTTTTTTAATTACACATGTATTATTTTGATCCAACCGTTCTACTTTTTTTTACCCAGGTCTGCTTAAAAGCCTGCTATTAGTATTAGCTTATCAATCAGGTTGAAAATTGTACTCATAGACCAATGGTAACGTCTGTGGCATAAGAGTGGGACATTATAGTTTCCTTCTTGTTACTACGTGTGTGTCTCTTATAAATGTTTCCAAATTTCTTAAGGCTATGGGCTTCGTTGTCATCGAATCCTGAAAGAGATCTGCCGGCTTGCCGGTATCAAGGACTTGTATGCCAGAGTGCATGGCTCCACCAATCCCATCAACCTCAGCGTTGCTTTCATCAATGGATTAGTCAACCAGGTAATTATCAGTAATATATAATCTGTACTGCAGACTTCATAATACCAATAAAAGGAGTGATTCTCAACTCAACACAGGCCACAAGAGTCAGTGAATAATTACACTTATTCCATAAAAAAACTTGTAATTTAAAAGTTCATTTTTTTACTTCAATTAAAAAGGCAATAACTTTCATTTAAAAGGTTAAATAAATGATTTTAAAAATGCTCATTTAAAAAAAAAAAACATTGAAAATTCAATTACACAAAACACAGACACGATGACACCATATAAGGTTTATGTAAATAAAGTATTCACAATCCACAATTTAACCTAAGGGTTCAAAATGCTCGTGAGATATGGCACTGGACTGTTCCTCAATATGTTTGTTGAGAACTAGTTTGTTAATCTATGGTGCGACAAGATCTAAGACACATGTTGTGGCTTCTTTTTGCCACTGGAAACACTGACTGAAATTACCTGACCTGTACGTTTTCAGGGCAAACTCCTGACACAAACTTGTCCGTCTATCACATAGAGACTGGGTTCCCAATGAAGCCAGAGCTTTATCATAACTTGGGTAATCGTTACCAAGAATTATTCAGCAAATGCTCTTTTGAATAGCCTCCAGTTGATCAGTTTGATGGGATGTGATACTTGAGTGCCAGATTGGGGCCGTATATTCCATGACAAGGCATTAGTTTTGGAGACTATTTCATCTTCAAGGGCATCCCATTTCAAATGTTGTCAGAAGATGACTCCCAGGAGCTTAACCCAGGCTGCTGACTTCCTGCACAGTGGAGGACCTTGGAAGCTCCGGAGAGGTTCCTGGTAAAGAAAGGCCTCGGAAATTAGGCAGATAATATGTCACGCTTGCCCCCTGTCCATTGTTCGTGATTTGTTTTTTGTTTTTTACAGGAGACTCACCAGCAGATTGCTAACAGGAAGGGCCTGCACGTGGTGGAGTTCCGCAAAGAGTGCGGCGTCCTCCCAATCGTTGTCGCGTCACCGCAGAACGCAGCGCCCCGCAATGAAGTGGAGGAGGAAGCCTGGGATAAAGAGCTCCCTCTGGAGTGGAAAGAGGAGATACCGAGAAAACGCGTCAAAAATTTCGTCCGAGAGGGGACCATTTTCTTTTGAACCTGTCTGCATGTAAACTAGAGCAGATGCACCAAATGGTTTAGCATTGTGGTCCAGCAATTGTGTGAAAGTAGCGGACCGCATGAAACGTTGCTATTCCGTTTTGGGGAGAGAGATGACAGACAATAGGTTAAACTTTTCTTTAAGAGTGATTTACACCACAGTGCTCTATCTATACATGTACTACCATGGAGACCATTAGGGGTTGCGTTCGAGTAGTCTCCCCTGGTATACATTGGTTTTACATTTGAAGAAGCCATGGAAAGAGTCTGATCTTATGCTGCAGTGTATTCGCCTAATTTGGGAAAGTTGAGGTCAAAGGTTGTTGCTTGGGGGGACTTTAAAATGTAAACACACCAGACTGTCGTCTGCTCATCTGGTAAAATGTAATAAGTTTTTTTCATTGTTACCAGATCAGTTATTGCTGGAATTGGAAGATATGCACAGAATTATCTAAAATATGTCTATCCAATTGAACACTGTTAATAATTGGGAATATTTGTGTCATATACACTCCACTGTGCTCGCATCCTATTAGAGTTCTCGCCATCTTCAATCGAGCTGGCCACGATATCGTCCGGTTACGTCATTACACCAGAGACCCGCTCGCGAGCTGGGGCTCTGGTGGTTGACACCAGATGCTGATCGAACGCACCCAACATGTGAAATAAACTTGACATCTGTGTGCATTCGGTCAACTGTGAAGTTGAACACTGGCATTATTCGGACAAACATCTGGTGGTGCACTCGATCATATTTGTTTTCATAGCGACTCGCAAAAGTAATATAGAGACAATATTTAGCTATAAACACGACATGGTTTCTTCTTATACGCCCAGTTGCATAGTGAGTACACAGGATCTGTTATGGGAATTATCATTTAGTGCCTGTGTAAACTGATGCGCACATGTTACAAGGCACATCGATAATTAAGAATTTCGGATAAGTGGCGGAATGAATACAATTCGATATTTGTATTCAGACAAGTACAGTTTCTCTTTTATTATAAACATTGAGTTTAAGACTTATTAACTATTGACATATTTTAGCTATGATCAAATGATTGGGACAATTAATGTTACATGAAATGTTCATGAATCTGCCCTAGAGACATAATGGTAAATTGAAATTAAAATTAAAAAATTGCTACCATGATGTAAATGAATATATTTGTTGATGTCTTATACAAGTACAGTCAAACACTTATAAGAAGTGCACTGTTAATACAACGTCCCGCTTACATGTATAACAAGGAAAATGGTCCCAAGTCTTTCTTTTTCATTGTTTTTCATTACTGTTGATACAAAGTACCTGTTATAACAAGGTAATTTGTAAAGTCCCAAGGACCTTGTTATAAAGGTGTTCTGATCGACCGTATGTTACGCAGACTTGATCCCTTTCACCTTGTCAGTGGCGTAGCCGGGGGGGGGGGGGGGGGGGGGGGGGGGGGGGGATGAAACCTTGTCCTTCCCCCCCCCCAGTCGCCCCCCCCCCCCCCCCACTGAGATTTTGAGTTTCTAAAAAAATTATCATTGATCTACATGGCGCCCCTCCCTATGAAATGTCCCAGCCCCCCCCCCCCACCCCCCCCCCCCCCCCCCCCCCCCCCCCCCCCCCCCCCCCCCCCCCCCCCCCCCCACTGAAAAATGCCTGGCTACGCCACTGCACCTTGTCTAGTATTGAAGTCGGTAACTGTACTCTAGGCGCAGTTGTTAGTGAGTTGTATTGGGATAGAAATCATACCGTGATGTTTAATATTTTGTTTTGCTGCCATTTTTGGGGTCGCGTCCTTTAAACGTTTGTTTTCGCAGAGAATAGTCCATCACCGGTACCGCCTTGTCAAAGTATATGAAAATGCACTATGTTTTATTTCAGTTTAGAATGTTTTTTAGTTTAGAATGCGGTTTTTAGCTAAAGGTATAAGGAGCAAAACGAAAGAAAACTGGCGGTGATATGTACAGTAGCGGATTCCGTTCCGTCTCAGTTTAATCCTGCCGCCGGGCAAAACAAGCATTTAATGCTTATATTAAGAAACTTGAGCAATGACGTGCATACAACGATGTTTTACCACTGAAATTTCAAAACAAAACGATGCTGGCGTGTAGAAACATATTTGCCCTCACGCGGTGCGAACCGTGGTTATCACTGGTTCCCATGCCTGCCGCCGATCCGTCGACACGGGTGATTTGAGTCATTAACATGGCCTTAACAAGAGAAGAAGGGGAAAAATGGTTTGTTTGTTTTAATACGGCTGGGCTCGTTGTGTATTAAGGTAACCGTTTTGTGTTACTTTCAGGCCATTATCCATCCGATGCGCACGCACATTATTTCTGGATTCTGGATACGCCCCCTCCACTCCCGGTCGCGAATTCTTTCCTCCTAATTAAACGACGTCCGTTTCCCATCTTCTGATTAATCCATTCCATTACATGCATATCTAATATAGGAGGGCCCAACTAATGGGCCCGACATTAAGATGAAAGACTGGACAATAATTTAATTTTTGTTTGAGAAACCCCAGTGATGTCGGCTTGCGTGTTATTCGGCCCTGAACTTTGCTGATGTAACACTGTTTTCAATGGGGCTTGAATTGGTCCAGTGCACCCGCAGTATGCACCATATACAACTTCCCTAAATATAATAGTGTGCATGGAGTTCTTCGAGCGAACCAGAGGCGCATCGTCGATCATAGGCCTATGCCAATATAGTACAGGCAATATAAGGTTTTACCTCAAACAAATTGCAACAGAATTTTTTTCACCACAGTGCATTTCTATATAAAGGTCCCTAAAATTACATACTAAAAGTCTTTAAAAATCCAGGTGGTGGAAATATGCCTAATTTGCATAAATCCAAAATGGCCGCATATGTTAGGACTTTCGCATTGATTTGGTCATATTTCTCATACTAGGTAGATTTTGGAGGTACTTTAAGCGACAGTTTTAGTCCTTTTACATTGATTTACTCATTATTCTAGTCCTAGGTAAATTTCCAGATCCCTATGTTTCCGAAATTTTCCAAATGCCGTATAATTTGCATAAATGCCGTATATCAATTTGCCTAAATTAAAGTTAAAATAATGGATGCCATGTGTGGACATGTACCAATTGAATTTTCCCTGATAATCCAAGTCAAATTTTACACCACAGTACATTGCTATAAGGTCCTTAAAAAGTTGTTAAAAATCCAAGCGGTGGAAATATGCCTAATTTGCATAAATTCAAAAGGCCGCTAATTACATGATTTTCATATGATTTGGCCATATAGTATAGGCCAATGTACTTTTGCATTTTTTTTGTTTAAGAAGGAAGTTTTGCCATATTTGGAAAGAGTTTACCTCCCTAAGCCGGAAATGCATTGGAGACATTTTTCCCAGCTACCATGTGGCGGCCATCTTAGATTTCAAAATGGCCGCCATTTCGAGCCTAATTTGTATCATAACTTCGGACTTGATTGTCACATGAAGTTTCTTTTGATGGCAAACCCCATGTTTTTGATACCAAGGATTCCGAGTACATTGTTGTTTATGGTGTACTCCAAATGGATGGCAGCCATCTTGGATATTTCAAAATGGCAGCCATTTTCGGCTTATTTGCATAATAAATTTGGACTCGAATGTCTACGAAGTCAATTTCGGTGGAAAACGCCATACATTTGATACCAAGTAATCTTAATGACCCATTGCTGATGATGTATGCCAGATGGATGGCAGCCATCTTGGATTTTTCAAAATGGCCGCCATCTTGGATTTCATTTATAATAACATTGTACCTAAATGTCCTATGAAGTCCATGTTTTTAAATGAACTCAAGTAAATCACTGTGGACGGGGTACTCACAATTGATGGCAGCCATTTTGGGTATTTCAAAATTGCCGCCATTTTGAACTAATTTGCATATTAAATTTGGACTTGAATGTCGTATGAAGTCAATATTGGTGGCAAACCCCTTGATACCAAGGAATCCAATTAACACATTTAGGCATCCCAAATGGATGGCAGCCATATTGGATATTCAAAAATAGCCGCCATCTTGGATTTCATTTAAATAATAAGGTGGCACCTGAATGTCGTATGAAGTCCATTTTGGTGGAAAACTGCATGTTCTTGATACCAAGGAACCCAAGTTATTCATTGTTGATGGGGTACTCCACTGGGAGTATACCCCATCAACAATGATTTTCTCGGGTTCCTTGGTATCAAAAACATGGGGTTTGCCACCAAAATGGACTTCATGTGACAATCAGGTCCGAAGTTAGATACAAATTAGGCCCGAAATGGCGGCCATTTTGAATTCCAAGATGGCCGCCACATGGTAGATGGAAAAAATGTTACCAATGGATTTCTAGCTGAGGAAGGTAAACTCTATCCAAATATGAAACAAATTCCTTCGTTAGCAAAGAAAAAAGCAGTGGCCAAAAATACGACATAATATACCATCTAGTAATAACTCTCGTCCTAAGGGGCGATTTTCAATGTTTCAAAATTTCGACTTTTTTTCCAAGTTATTTTGACCCACCACCCACCCCTAATTTCGATTAATAAAAAACTGAACATGTACATGTACATGCACTTGCATGTACATGTACTTGAACACCATGTACATGTGTGTCTAGTTCAATGACGGCGTGAAGTTGTCGGCCTTCCTCTTTTGCACTGGTGACCTTCAGTTTTCTTGTGTTTTGCCAGCTGATATGCTGTTGGGAATGACAGGTTGCAGTTTTGGAAGCCACAAAGATGACCGTGGTTTTGTCGTTTTCTGGATGAGGTGGATCATAGAGCAAGGACAACGGGTATTTTCTTGTTGTTTCTTTAGTGTGTGTATTTAATGTGAGTGTAGACCTATGTATGTCAACTAGGTTGTTTGTTTTTATGGTTTGCATTTTTCTCTCTGGGGAATGGGATTGCTTTTGTTTCTCGGTTTTGTTTTGTTTTGTTTGTAATAATCTTTTTAGCCCGTTTGTCATTCATTCCCGTTATTGAGTCTGGTTGTTTGTTTTGTTTGTTTGTTTGTTTGTTGGGTTGTAAGAGTATTTATTTATTTATAGTTCGTTTTTATATTTTTGTATCTGTCTGGCTTGTCCAATGTTTCACTCTATGATTTTTTTGTTGAGTCTTGTCTCATCTCCCTGTCTTGTCTCGTCTCGTCATGTCTCGTCTAGTATGATTTGTACAATTTACTTTTCAATAGTACTTATATTTTTTATGAATGGAATTTTAAATCTGTTTTATTGGCAGGGGTTTGGATAAATGTCTGATGACAATTTGTTTTTTTTTTTACTTTTTACATATCCGTGGCAGCCTGTCCAACTTTAAGCTTTTATTTTATGTTTTAAGATTTAAAATAAAATAATTGAATCAAATAAATCAAATAAAGTTTCTTCAAGTCTTTATTACGCTGGAGATTTCCCGATCGTAGTACATATGACAGGCAGCCCAAATAGGCGCGACCTAATCCAGCCAAATTACGATTTGTATACTAGTTTATCTGCAATAATAAAGAATTTTGGCCCCTGCACTTGAGGGTCTGTATTTGTAGAAGTGAAGGGTCCATGTTCCTGAATTTGGATTTCTGAACAAAACATTTGAATGGAATCTATATTGATATGGAGTGGAAGGAATCTGTTTGTTTTTTGTTTTTTTTATCAAAATGGCGATGGGGTGATCATCGTTGGAGGGAAAAATCACCTAAAAGTCAGTGTCAAATCACCCCCCAAAACTTTTACATTTTAAACCCCAACCTCTTCAAATTGGTTTATATTTAGTTTATGCACTGTACAAAAAGTTGGGCAAAATGGGTTGATAATTCGACCAATGATGGTCGAAATATCAACACTCTTGGGCAAATTCTTTCCCAATAGTTTGATAGTTTTTACCCAATTCAACCCAATATGAGGTCATTTCATACCAATGCTGGGTAAATTACTTTGCCCAACAGTGTTTTTATCCAACCTTTTTACAGTGTGGGGTAATTTCGGCTGAAAGGCCGAAATTGTAAGTTTTAGCGCCATCGGACAAACGGTTTTCGTGCTACCGCCCATGCAATTTTGGTCAAAATGGAAATTGCTGCCATTTTTTAAATGACCATATCTCTATAATCTGTGAGCCAAATTTGTTAATCTTGATTTCTTTTGAAAGGGTACATCATGAGAAATCCAAATTTACCATTATTTTCATGTCGGGGTTAGGCCTATTAGAAGTATAATGACATTTGACCTTTACTTTGACCTTGAATTTGACCTAGTGGATCACCCGATATT